GGGGGGGGGAGAGAGAGAGAGAAAAGAAAAGAAAAGAAAAGAAAAGAAAGGAGAGAAAAGAAAGGAAAGAAAGGAAGAAAGAAAAGTACTTCATAAAGTAAAACCATTTCCAAAGAGAAATTTTTCAAATTACAGATCACTTGAGGAAAGTTAAACGTGCATATGCATTGCAGGTAGAGCAGAGCAGGGGGTCTTTTTAAGTCTTCCCTTGAATAGAGGGTTATCTTTGATTAAGGTAAAAAAATTTAAAACACAAATAGCTCACCCCCCAAGCCATTTATTCACCATATTCCAGGCTGCCGCTGGTACAGTCCATCAGCTTTTTGTCAGACCAAATGATTATGACCATGTCCATCTGAAACAGAGGGCTTCTTCAAAGTAGTCCTAATCAATGGTTCCCATTTTGGATTTGGGGAACGTATGTAATGCTGTTTGCCCCAGTATTCTCTCTTGAAAGACCTAGAAAATACCATTTTTGTGGGATAATATGAAATACTAACTATGTTATCTCTTGATTTTAGAAAGTTAATTGTGTTGCTTTTTTATTTATAGGCGCAGATACAGGACCAAGGACCGTTGAAATAATCAGGGTATGTCAATAATTTTGCTATTTTTCTGATCCTTGTTGTATTTGTATAAATTGTGTATTTTCTCCTTATTACAATTTGTTGGATTGTTAGTGTGCTCTTCTCAGTTTCATTGAAGTCATTAAAAGGTCTATACATCATAAATAGACTTAGAAAAATCAGTGAAGCCACACAGTGACCACTGTGAATCTTTGGGTACATCCCATCCACTAGGTTTTGTGCATGTGTTTAAGTTTTATGAAACAACAACCACAAATAATGGTGTCATATGGACACACTCTTGAGTCTTGTCTTTTTCACTTTTGTTTTCTATTTTTTGAGAGTTTTCGAGCCAGCAGGGGCGGGCAGAGAGACAATTTTAAGCAGACTCCACAACCAGCATTGAGCCCAGTGTGGAGCTCAGTCCCACCACTGTGAGATCATGACCCAAGCTGAAATCAAGAGTTAGATGCTTAACCGACTGAGCCACCCAGGTGCCCCGTTGTCTTTTTCACTTTCAAGCATGAACTTTTAGTCATGCCACTATTTTTTGACGACGTACAGTATGATTTCTATTGGTTGTATAGTATTCCATCATATAATGTGCTATAATTTTCTTCTTCACCTTCCTCCTACTAAACAATTAGCACATTTCTCAACTTTTCTTCCTTTATAGCAACATCTTTATATTCCTTTTTTGTCCATATCATGAGTGATTTCTTCAGGATTTGTTCCTAGAAATGAAATTGGTTTTTATTTGTTTGCTTTAAAAAAAAAAATGTTTTTTTTTTAATTTTTTAAGTAATCTCTAACCCAACGTGGGCTTAGAACTTACAACCCCAAGATCAAGAGTCACATGCTCTATAGGCTAGGCAGGAACCTATAGATATGAAATTGTTGAGTCAAAAGCCATACTTGTTATTTAAAGGCTTTTGTACATATTACTAAACTCCATGACCAAAAAGATTGTATAATATGTATTTAAGTTCATAAAATTGTCATACTTTGATGTTCAAATTCCTATGTGATATCCAGAATATTGAAAAGTACTTTCATTTGGATCACTTTTAATTATTTTTTTTAATATTTTTTTATTTATTTCTAGGAGAGAGAGAGACAGTGTGAGCAGGGGAGGGTCAGAGAGAGAGGGAGATACAGACTCTGAAATAGGCTCCAGGCTCTGAGCTGGCAGTCAGCACAGAGCCTGACGCCAGGCTCAAACCCACGAACCGCGAGATTATGACCTAAGCAAAAGTCGGACGCTTAACCGACTAAACCACCCAGGCGCCCCCATTTTGATCACTTTTAAACATTAAATTTGGGAGCACCTGGGTGGCTCAGTCGGTTAAGCGTCCAACTCTTGATTTCAGCTCAGGTCATGATCTCATGGCCGTGAGATCAAACTTCACATTAGGCTCACACTGGGCATGAGGCTGCTTAGGATTCTCCCTATCTGTCTCTCTGCCCCTCCTCTACTCACATGCACGTTCCCTCTCTCCCTCTCTTTCTCTCTCTCTCTCTGTGAATATTAAATTTGGGATTCAAGAAGTAGTTAAAAAAAAAAAAAAGTATGACGTTGCCATAACCATGGTTCAACTGCAGTGAAGAGATACCCAGCATGGCTTAGTCCCCTGGAGTCAGCCTTAGTCCCTGGAGTCAGTCATAGCAGTGTTTGAAGGCATTCCTACCGTTTATTAGCTCTGTAACCTTTCGCAAGTTACTGACTTCAAGTTTTCCCATCTGTAAACTGGGGATGATAAAACCTCACAAAGTAAACCTTGTGTGGATTAAATCCGGTAATGCAAACGGAGTACCTGGCATCATACCCAGTGCATCATAAATGTCCAGGAAGTGGCATCCATTATTAGTGACGATGACTTTAGGCAACTCTGCTTTTTTGTTCCTAGTATCTTTCCGCCAGAGTGGCAACTCAGATGTTCCTATGAGGGGAACGTTAAATCTACCAACATGTACATACTTATGGATAAATTAAGGAAGCATTATGATAGATTCAAACAAAGCCAACTTATTCCATAAATTTCTCCTCATTCCAAGATTTATAAAATATCATTTTATGGTTCCTTAGTCATTTCAGCCACTTCTTTTTACAGGCTTTTATAAAACGGCCTGCTCCTACCAACTGCATTCTCCCACACAGGGGCCAAGCAGAAACCTCGTGATGAAACGCATCTTGCCATTTTGCATGCAGGGCATTACTGTTGATGCATTCAGAAAATAAAAGCTAGACACAAATGTGCTGGCAGAGTATAAATTACCCGTGACTGGAGAGGTCAGCGTTGCCATTCTTCTTTTATAGGCATGACATGGCAGCATTAGTAATATTATTAATAATAAAAAATAATTCCTCACACTTAATGTGACATGAGGTTGTTTTTTTTTAAGTTTATTTATTTATTTTGAGAGAGAGCGCGCGCGTACATGCAGGGGAGTGGCAGAGAGAAAGTGTCCCAAGCAGGCTCTATGTTGTCAGCACAGAGCCCAACATGGGGCTGAATATCATGAACCAGGAGATCATGACCTGAGCCTAGATCAAGAGTCCGACGCTAACCTGACTGAACCACCCAGGTGCCCATGTGACATGAGTTCTTAAAGTTCTCTTGGGCACTTGGGTGGTTCAGTCGGATAAGCATCAGACTCTTGATCTTAGCTCAGGTCATGATCTCAAAGTTCGTGAAATTGAGCACCCCGTCGAATCAGGCTTTGCACTGACAGTGTAGAGCCTGCTTGAGATTCTCTCTCTCTCTCTCTCTCTCTCTCTCTCTCTCTCTCACTCTCTGCCCCCCTCCCACTCACACACCTGCTCATGTATGCCCTCTCTCAAAATAAAAAAAATTTTGAATAAGATTCTTTCATACATAGTTTTTGTCGTCATTTTGTTCTTTTCCCTCTTTCCAACTTTATAAGGTAAAATTGAAGCACACTAAGCGGTATATATTTTTAAATGATCAATTAAAACTGCAGAAGCCTTGCTACCATATAGGTCCCTTTACCACAGCCACACCACTAACATCTGTGCCATAGACGTCATGTGTTTACATTTACGTAAATTGAGAACCCCACCAAACAATGTTCTAATTTTTACTTTCAACTGTCCTATATATTTTAAAGCACTTAGAGAAATTGGTCACATAGAAAATGGTTCTTTGGGGGCGCCTGGGTGGCTTAGTCGGTTAAGCGTCCGACTTTCGCTTAGGTCATGATCTCGCGGTTGGTGGGTTCGAGCCCCGCGTCGGGCTCTGTGCTGACTGCCAGCTCAGAGCCTGGAGCCGGTTTCAGTCTGTGACTCCCTCTCTCTCTGACCCTCCGCTGCTCACGCTGTCTCTCTCTCTCTCTCCTAGAAATAAATAAAAACATTAAAAAAAAAATAGTTCTTTGCAGACTGAGTAATTTAGGATTTTACCCTGGATCTCATGAATGTTACGCTGTGTGGACTGTGAAGCGTATTCATATTTATGCTTTAGCAGGCGATCAACTCATTCCGGTTCAGACCACAAGTTCTGTCTCACCTTTTGTGAGCGGTGGTTCACACCCCAATTCGGTTCCGCGTCGGTCTGCCCTGTGCATGTGAAGCTTAAAATGGAGCCTGAGAAGTCTATGTGATCCCTCTTACAGGGTTAGATCCCCTTTTCAGGCTCTCTCTACTCTAGTTTTCTTCCTTTATTCTCCAACGCGAGGCGCTCCCTCGCCTGGTTGCTCTAGCTCTGGCGGCCAGAAGAGGCAGGATGGGGTAAGATGGGCGTTAACATCCGAGAGCAACTCCACCTTTCTAGTTCCTTGACTGGGGCTGGCCCTCAGGACCAAGCTGCCAGGAAAACAACTGATAAATCCACCGCTATTGCTTATTCTCCAGGCTTTGGCCCTCCACCACAATTTGTTTGAGTTTCTTGACTTTTCAGAAGCCTCAGGTAGTTGTTTCCATGTTTGATAGAGCTGTCCCCCTGTACTCAGGGGTAGAGGGAAGCCACGGCTGTGCAACGCCACTGTGCTGAAACTGGAACTCCTCATTCATTCTCTGAGTGATATTTAAACTAGTAACTCTGGGGCACCTGGGTGGCTCAGTCGGTTGAGCGTCCGGCTTCGGCTCGGGTCATGATCTCCCAGTTCGTGGGTTCAAGCCTTGCGTTGAGCTCTGGGCTGACAGCTCAGAGCCTGGAGGCTATTTCAGATTCTGTGTCTCCCTCTCTCTCTGCCCCTCCCCCTCTCATGCTCTGTCTCTCTCTGTCTCAAAAATAAAAACAAAAACAAAGAAACAAAAAACTTGAATGAATGAATAAATGAATGAATGAATAGATAGATAAATAAAGAAGTAAATAAATAAATAAATAAAATAGTAACCCTGTGTGGCAAACGTGGGGAAGCGCTGGACTAAAGCCAGGATCCCTTCACCAGGGTGCAGTGAACCAGGCTGCCTCACCCAGGAATCCCAGCGAGCGCTTTCAGTCACGCCTTACTTCTCTCCGCAAACTCGGCTGTCCTTGCAGCGGGCTGTCCTCTCAGATCCTTTGTCGCAATGCAGCCATGAGGCTCTTTGGGAGCCAAGTGTTTGTTCACACCCAGAAGAGCATGATATGTGTGGCAGTTTAATCGTAAACACCATATGAGAGCGTACTTGCCAAGTCTGCATCAAAATTGGCCACTAAACTGAGCAGTAACATAGGGTTGTTTTGTATTTTTTTGTTGTTTATACTCCTACTGTTGCCTTTTATTGAGCCTTTTCTGTAGGCCAAGACTGCACTATATCATCTCATTTAATCCTCAGACCAACATACAAAGACGGACGCTCTAAGAGGTTGAGGAACTGCACTGAGATCCCTCCCCCGAACTAATTAAGTGCTAGACCTGAAACACAGGGCTTCCGGACTCCAAAGCACTGCACTTAACCGCTGTGTTTCCCTGGCCTCCTGCGTCAGGGAGAGATCTTTTGCAACAGCTCTCTGGGGACAACCAGGTCGTGGGTTCTTTATTAAATATAGGAGCACGGTGTTTTCCTTCTTTTTTAGGAGCTCAGCGATGCCCTTGGAATCAGTATTGCTGGAGGGAAAGGAAGTCCCTTAGGAGATATCCCAATATTTATTGCCATGATTCAGGCCAGTGGTGTGGCTGCACGTACACAGAAGCTTAAGGTAAACAGAAGTGCTAACAGCATGTGGTGGGACATGAGGGTGCAGCCGTGGGCACTTTGTTTAAAGTGGGAATTCCAACAGAGACCCACACGGGAGGCAAAATGCATTGGAGAAAGTTTACACCTAAAATTCATTAAGCCCCTGGGCATATAAAAATATTATTATTTGTATCAAAGCTTCTTGATGAAAGAAGAAATTGCAGCTCATTTGCAAAGCCGCCCATGCCATTCTTGGCACTTCATTCCACCCCAAATTAATTTTCACCCAAGAGAGATTTGACCTGAGAATTGTCCTTCAACCAGAATTAATGTTCTTATGATTTTTCCCTCATTGCCTCTTCATCTTAACGTAGGTAGAAAAATAAAGGAGAAAATATCTGGCTTCCTCATTAGAGCTTTATTGAACAGTTAATTTGTACACCCCACTATTACTGGTGAGCAGATGTATACAACACCACCATCACCAAAATACAAAAGTGGCCTGCCGTGCCTTCTTATAATCGAATCTGGCCCCCTTCTTGTTTCCCTGATTGGTCTGTATTTGGGGAAAGCCATAAAAATTCCTCATGTTTCTGGAACATGCATACACAGGAGAAACACAGACTCTTCACAATAGCCACAAATGGGAAATATGACTTACAAAGAATTTTAAGCATTCTTCTCAAATTTAATTTTTCTTAATGATAGTGATTTTCTACCACTTTTGTACTTCCAGGTTGGAGATCGGATTGTCAGCATTAATGGGCAACCTTTGGATGGGCTGTCTCACGCAGATGTGGTTAATCTGCTGAAGAACGCCTACGGGCGCATTATCCTGCAGGTATTGCGATCAATGGAGCACGCAGCTGCGCAAGGCAGATAAGTGGCGTGCAAAAAAGATTGAGCGTCACTGGCAGTAGGCATCACCGCCCAGCAGGGTGCTGGCTGATGTGAATTATGAAGGTTGAAAGCAAGAAATTATTATTTTTATTCAGAAATTCTTTAATGCCACCCATACAGGCAGTGAGCATGATTATATGAAAGCATAACAAGGGGAGAAAAATTACTCTTTGCTTCACATGATAAATCAACAAGGCTTTTAACTTCCAGCGTTCTTTTGTAAATCAAAGTTTGTGAGGCATAGGAAATTATTTCTTTTCTTATGCCCAAAAACTGTTGCCGAACTGCCCAAGCACTGTTTCTTCCACTCCTTTTAAAGGAAAGAAAAAATACAGTGCTCTTTTTTCCCTTAGCATAAATGATCGCCAGCACTGTTACATTCCCACTGCATGGTTGTCATCAACTAAGGCAGACAATTATTTATCAGCTGTGGTCCCTCAGAGCCGGGTCCAGATGCACAAGGAAATATACCAGGAAGTAAAAAAGAGGTTTGCTGTTAATTACCTCTCCTTCTATTTCAGCACCTCACATGTCTCTGAGATTGATATGGTGCACTGAGTTGCAGGATACTGCAATGAGTTTTGCTAATGTGTTTCCCCCAAAATGTATGATTATAATCACCACACTTCCGCAGGTAATATTGAGCGGTTCATAGATGAAAAGAATACCACCATTTAGTACCTTAGAGAGAGGTCTAGCCAGCACCTCAGATCATTCTAGCCTTAAAATAATAATTTCAGGGGCACCTGGGTAGCTCAGTCAGTTAAGTGTCTGACTTTGGCTCAGGTCATGATCTCACAGTTCATGGGTTTGAGCCCCACAGTGGGCTCTGTGCTGACAGCTCAGAGCCTGGAGCCTGCTTTCGATTCTGTGACTTCCTCTGTCTCTCTCTCTCTGTCCTTCTGCCACTCGCACTCTATCTCTCTCTCAAAAATAAACATTAAAAAAAATTTTTTTTCTTAAATAATAATTTCAGGGGCTCCTGACTCACTCAGTCAGTAGAGCATGCAACTCTTGATCTCCAGATTGTAAATTCAATCCCCACATTGGGTTTAGAGATTACTTAAATAAAATCTTTAAAATAATAATTATTATTATTATTGTTTCAAATTGGAAAGCCATTATACTGAGGAGAACAAATTTGTGGTGCTAACTCCCCCATCTCAGTGGTCTAAATCCAAAGGGCCAAAACAGATGTTACAAAAGTAAATCACTTGCAGCAGGTAGGAAGGTAATCATCAAAATACTGTCAGTAGGGGAGCCTGGGTGGCTCAGTCAGTTAAGCATCCAACTCTTAACATTGGCTCTGGTCAGGGCACCTGGGTGGCTCAGTCGGTTAAGCATCTGACTTTAGCTCAGATCATGATCTCACGGTTTATGGGTTCAAGCCCTGTGTCAGGCTCTGTGCTAACAGCTAGCTCAGAGCCTGGAGCCTGCTTAGGATTCTGTGTCTCCCTCTCTCTCTGACCCTCCCCTGCTCACACTGCCTCCTTGTCTCTCAGAAATAAATAAAACATTTTAAAAAATTTAAAAAAAAAACAAAACATTGGCTTGGGTCATGATCTCACAGTTCGTGATTTCGAGCCCCACATTGAGCTCTGACAGCGCAGAGCCCGCTTGGGGTTCTCTCTCTCTCTGCCCCTACGTGCTTGTGCTCCCTCTCCCTCTCTCAAAATATAAACATTTTTAAAAAATATTGTCAATGGTTCAAAGGGAGTTTATGTGATAGGCAACATATTACTCAGTAATTTGGGTCCCTGAGTTTCTACTGAACACAAATCAAAACAATATATGAGGTGGCACCTGGGTGGCTCAGTTGGTTAAACGTCTGACTTTGGCTCAGGTCATGATCTCACGGTTTGTGAGTTCGAGCCCCATGTTGGGCTCTGTGCTGACAGCTCGGAGCCTAGAGCCTAGAGCCTGCTTCGAATTCTGTGTCTCCCCTTTCTCTCTGCCTCTTCCCTGTTCATGCTCTGTCTCTCTCTGTCTCAAAAATAAATAAACATTAAAAAATTAAAAAAAAAACAAAACACTATGTGAACTGGCGGTTGAGTGAGCTTGCCCTCCACTCTGTGTCCTCACTTTCAGTGGAAGTTAGGCTGTCATGTCACATTCCTCCCTCTACCCTCCTCAGTCATGGTCAGAGCCTGCACATTCCTGCTCTTCCTTCGAGTTATGCTGACCCCTAGAGGCCTACAAGTGCAACTCCTCCGTCTCAGACTGGGGACCGTTTGTCTCGCAGAATTTTAAAAGGAAGTTATTTGAAATAATAACTATGTCAAGACCAAAAAATGTCTCCCTTAGCAAAACCTGGTATTACTGATATTTTCATACACTGACATAATTTGTTCAGCTCCGCCTTCTTCACAAAGAAATGAGAAGACACAGTGTAAAAATGTAACATTAACTGTAAAAGTGCCTTAAATGAAAATGAACTCAAGCTCTCCCATGCAGAATTAACACTTCACTCTGCCAAATTGCCCCTATTAACACACCTTTGAAGGAGTTTCTTATTTTTCCTATTTCTGTACTTTAAGAAACTGACATTTGGTTTTAAAATGTGCTCTTGCATTAATCACTAGTTGGTAGTGTTATTTTCTAATATGTGCTATTAAAAGCTTAATAGAATCCTTTGGGATTTTTACAGTTCTAATCTACACAGTTATGGGTATGGAACATATGTGCTGCCAAAGGCATTAGACAGAAAACCCAGAAAATTCTTAGGTCCTGCATCAAATGCCTTGCAGTTACATAGCATTTTTGCCTTAATTAAAACAATGTGCATGTAGTACCAGCCATATAGTTATTACAGCTGACTTGGCACTAAGTAACTATTTTTATCATCAGGTGAGCCAGCCCATTGGCAGAGTAGTAGGGAAGGTCAAGTAATTGTGTCTGATGATGTGGAAAAGACTTACTGTCGGTGTAGCATGCAAAGCAGTCAGCAACTGCTGATTGCACAGGGAAGATTAAGGTCTGGGTCAGCAAGACTGCAGGATGGAGAAGGGGAAAGAGTAGAAGAGATGACCAATACTTCCAGAAGCTTCTCCCCACAGTATAAGTTGCTATCTCTGAGTTTAATAAGGAGGTAGATATTTCTGCCCTTTAAGTCTGATGATTTCCTATTATCAATCATAGATTGGTCAGTGGAGATTGACATGGCTATGAGGAGTCAATTATATTTGCTTTAGTAGTCTAATAGTTTGCCTGGTTAAGCTCTTTTGTCTGTAAAATGACCAGAAAACCTTTTTTGAACAAAACCAGATAACCCAGACTCTCTGCTAGAAAATATATATATATATATTTATATGTCTTTCTTTGAGAACACAGAAGATAAAAAGAGCATATCAGGGACTCGTATCACTTAAGGAACTTGTGAGGCTTGTTCTGGGCCCTGTAAGATATTTTACAATTATTTGAGAGTGTAGCAGAATGGGTGGATTGAGGTACTACTAACTAAACTAGGGGATGTGGTAAGAGTCTGCTGGGAGAGGAGAGAACATTCTAGCTTGAGTCGTACAGGTGGAGATGTCCAGCAGGCAGAGGAAATGTACTGCCAATGTTCAGGGAGACGTCATTGCTGGTAACTGGGTAAATAAAGCCATCCGAGGCTTTTAAGTGTCGGCATTCTCACTGTCTGGCACATTACATACATCATAGATATTGGTTGAATACATGAATGAAAAGAGTGGTGACAAAGACAGACAAAGGCTTAGAGTCAACAGCAGGTATGGAAGGTGTGAGAAGAGATTCTGAAACCAGGGAGATTCATTAAGGGTCTGTCTTCAAAGTTAGTTTGAGAAGCCCTTTGAGGATGTTCTCCAGAACACAAAATAATTGATTAAGAGGGTTCAACTGCTGGTTAGGAGAGAGAAAGAGATAGAAAGAGAAGGAGAGAAAGAGGTGCCATACTTCTTAATATAGAGAAAACAGGGGTGCCTGGGTGGCTTAGTGGGTTAAGCATCTGACTCTCAATTTCAGCTCAGGTCATGATCTCATGGTTTGTGAGTTCCAGCCCTGCATCAGGCTCTGTGCTGACAATGTAGAAGTGAGAAGATAGGGATGATGTCACCTCTGAAAAAGAAGATGAAAAATTTTGCAATGAAGAGCCACCTGGCTGGCTCAGTCGGTAGTGCAAGAGACTCTTGATCTTGGGCTTGTAAATTCAAGCCCTGCGTTGAGTGTAGAGATTACTTAAAAATAAAATCTTTAAAAGAAAAAGAAGTTTGCAATGATGATGGTTATTGCAGCGATACTGCTGCTAGTTCAGAGACCCATCTGAGACCCACTGGAGCCGTGCATTATTTAGAGAGAGAAAGCACAGTATTCTCAATGCCTGGGATTTCCATGGCCCCCCACCTCCGTCCCCTCTCTATAAATCTTGTGAAGTCCTTTCTTTAGAAACCAGGAAGTTGGAGAATAGGGAATGCCTGGGGACATTCCCCCCACCCCCTCCTCCACCATGAATTTATCCAAAGTAGTGACTATGCCTATAGCACAGGGCCTGGCCTAGAGCGCATGCCTACTAAGTGTTGTTCACATTGACTGGGTTGCTGAGCTATACTGATCAAGATAAAAGACACGAACTTATTAAGAGCTAATCACAGTCACCAATTGGGTCCAGAAAAGTCCTACTAGAGGAGAAAGACGAATTGGGTTGGGAACGGGAAAGGTGTGTGGTAAAGGGTGCAGGGCAGGCATCTAAAGGCACATGTGAGTATAATTAAAGGAATGGTTTGTGAGCTGTTCTTAACCTTGGTTGTGCAATAAAATACTGGTTCCAATACTGGTTCCTGGGTCTGCCACATGAGTTTAATTGGTCTGGGATGTGGCATGGAGTTTGAGAGTTTAATGCTTCCCATGTGTTCCTAATATGTAACCAGCTGATCTGTGGAGGGCATGATGTGACCAGGAAGGGGGTGGTAAGCTCCAGGTAAAGGA